AGATCAAACCTCATAAAATGCTTTTATTTTTAAGTGTCTACTCACAGTAAGTGAATGCAATAGAAATTCAAAATTCCCAAGAATTTTAAACGAGTTATTTAATCTTGCTCCACCTTCCAGAGAGAGAGAGAGAGGGAGGGAGGGAGGGAGGGAGGGAGGGAGGGAGGGAGAGAGAGAGAGATTGATTTAATTTATTTTTTGAGATGGAGTCTGGCTCTACCACCCAGGCTGGACTGCAGTGGTGCAATCTTGGCTCACTGCAACCTCTGCCTCTCATGTTTAAGTGATTTTCCTGTCTCAGCCTCCCAAATAGCTGAGGTCTGTGCCACCACTTTCAGCAAATTTTTATATTTAGAGTAGAGATGGGTTTTGCCATGTCAGCCAGGCTGGTCTCAAACTCCTGGTCTCAAGTGATCTGCCCACTTCAGTCTTCCAAAGTGTTGAAATTAAAGGCATGAGATACTATGACCAGCCATTTTTTGTTTGTTTTTTTGTTATTTAAGAACAACCGGTAGACCTTATACCTAGAAGATTTTAATCCGTGCAATTTTAACAGAATGCTGAATAGATCTTTTTTGTAATGATTTGCTTTTCTCTTAATTTTTGAATTGGTGAATCAGGTTCAGACATTAAAACAAAGAGGTGATGATTACTCCCACATTCTAAAGAGAGTCCACATTGAAAGACACAGCATGCTTATGTTTAAACCCAGGCAGTCAAAATTATTCCATTTTTTCAAGTATTTCCATCATTAATCTCTTCTAACAAAACATGTAAGGAAGATGAAGATTTGAGGGTATATAAGGGAATGGTGGGTTACTGGCTTAGAGAAAGACTTCTATGGCTTTTCTCTCCTTTCTTGTTTAGTAATAGAAAGGGGATCTGTTTTTGTCTTTACAATCAAGTAAGAAGTATTAAAATAAAGGCCAGCATCTCATTACTGACTGACCGTTCACTTAGGAAGAGAGTTCTGAGATGCCTTCTGCTCTTTTTAATGGAGGATGGGTGCAGGTGACCTCTGAGCAAAGAAAAGCCATGCCCACTAGTTTGGGGTAGTGAGGTAGTGAGGTTGAGACATTTTGTGTGTGTTAAGTAAACATAGAAGAAAGAAGCCAGTCTTGAGCAGCCTAGTAGAGACTGGCTTCTATTTTCTGTATTTACTTAACACACCTGGACAAAGAGGGATTCCCTGAAATATATGACTGAACAGTATCTGGCAAGAAAAGTTGGCTGAGGTTACGCTGCTGAATGTCAAGCATGAAAAGTTTTCCTAGTGGCCCATCACTAAAGCAGGCCATGAGGTGGCCTAAGATTGCTCACAGGTCCGGGGAGATGGTCAGGCTCTGAGTATCTGTGCCACAGGCCCCAGGACAGAATCAGGGTCTGAATACCTATGACATAGGCCCTCTGGTGTGCCCAGAGGCTGCAGACTTGTGTTTTAGCTGCTTAAAGAAGACCATGGCAGCACTTGTTAATACAAAGATAATCAGATGTTTTTATTTACTATTATTTGTTTCCTCCAACAACATAAAGAGTAAGGGACACAGAAAAGAGAAAGAAGGAGATATCGAACAGGCCACACCTCTCCCTGCTCCTGATTTTCAGCTGAAACTTGGCTAGCGAAAGTGGGAAGAGTGAGCATTTATCAGATAAGAGGAAGTCCAGGAGACAGAAAGAGTTCCTTTTTAACTACAGGAAGAGATTGAAAAGCTGTGTGTTTGGGTGAGATGTGTTAGAGGCAGTAAGGCAGACTTCCCCAAGCACAGCTGAAAGTAATAGTGGGGGAAACAACATTTTAATTTGCTGTTCAATTATATAGGTTTTTTGAATGTTGCCTTATGAGTGCTTTTTTCTTTGTTGGTTTGCTATATATACACATGTATGTATATAGACACATGTATATATAAGACATACATGTATATATATCTTAGATGCTCTTCATTCAGTATGAAAAATGCCTGTTAGACTTTTGTGTAGTGCAGATCTACTGGTAAATCTACTGATAACAAATTCTTGTAGCTTTTTAATGGAAGTGTCTTTAGTTTTGCCTTCATTCTTGAGATACATTCTCACCATAAAGATGGTGTTTCACTGCCTTCAGGACTCCACTGTTTTGATGGGAAATCAGAGATCACTTGATCTTCCTTCTATGTAATAATTTGCTTTTCTCTCTATTTCTTTAGGACTTTCTATTTTGGTGCGGTTTTCTTTGAATTTATCCTGTTTGTGCTTTGCTGAATTTTTTGAATATTTACATTTATATCTTTCAACATACCTAGACCAATAACACCAATACACTTTACAGTCTAGGACTGCCTGGTGTTGAGACGTCAATATTTGTTCTTTGGGGTACCCTTGAAAATGTCTGTCAGTGTTGGTCCAATATAAGCTATATGTTTTCAAAATAAAAAAATCAATCACTTTGGCAGGATAAATATGGGATGACAGATGCAGCAAACCATCATGGCACTTGTAAACCTATGTAACAGATCTGCATGTTCTACACATGTACCCCAGAACTTAAATTTAAAATACACACACACACACACACACACACACACACACACACACACACGGTCTCTGATACTACCTGATATTCAACCCTTTTTCAACCCCAGTTTTATGGCTAAATAGTTTGCAGAGAAATGCTTTTATCATTAAGAACGTAATACTGTGTCATGTAGATGACCTTTTGTCTCCAAAAATGAATACCCATTGATGAAAGATAAATCTATACCTTAGGCAATAAAAAAAGTAGCCTAGTTTGCTCTGCTCTAAAATACTTTGAAATTTACATTCATAGCAATTTGGGAAAGGGCTTACGTAGAATTATAAAATTTTAAAGGAAAGGGAAGTTGAATGTCACTATATTCAATTTTAGAGATGAGAAAATTTTGACCAAAGTCACATTAAGCACGAATTATTCCATTCCATAAACAGTGGCTGGGCTTCCGTTAAGCGCCAGACACATGTTGTGTGTATGTTAGACCTTGACTACACCGAAAGGGTGAAAAACAAATTCACGGGCTGATACACAGAGACAGGCTAAGAATTTAGATGTGTAGGTATCTAATTCAGTGCTTGCTTCAGAATAAAAATGGCGAAGCCAAAGGAATGGGTACTATAATCTGGAGAACAATAAAATTTAATTTTTTTCAATTATAAGGAAAAGGGAAATAAAAACCCAAATCCCTCCATGAAATGCTATCAAGTAAAACTTAATTTGCTTTTATCATCTCAGTTAAAAATTAGTATCATCTTTTGAGAGGACTACAGAAAAAAAGCAACCAGTGGCTTTTATTGACTACTTGCAGGGCTTCAAATATCTTCGGTTCAAGAAAAGCAGTCATTTCCTCCCAGGTAATCATTTATTACGATTTTTTAAAAATTCTGCAGGCTTGAATTACTAGATTTTATAAAATGATGCAGGATGCTAATTACTGTTTTTAAAATGCTGGATACATGGCAAATATATAATATATTCTACTTTACCACAAGGAGTACTTTTTGCCATAGGATAAATGAAGGGTATTAATTTGAGTTTAATGATCAAGCCACAAAAAGCAGCAGAAGTTAACTTTGCATAGTGCGTTTTGCAACTCTATTTGAAAGGTAATGCAAGTTCAAGAGACCAACAAGTATAACCTAAAAATGTTCCCAAATATTCCTATCCCCAAATATTTACAAAGTTATTGAAATCCAAGTAATTGTGAATGCTAAAACTTTTTAATGTAAAGAGATCAGTTTACATTTTTATTCATATTTGTTCAAAAAGACCTAAGATTTTTCATTATTTTGGTACAGTTTATGTCTATGACCAAGTTAGAAGACTAGATTTTATCAAAGTTAATAGAACAATGAAATCAACATGGAGCCAATGGAGTTTTACTATAGAAAGAAGGCAAAGACAGTCACACTGCATGCTCCAAAGTCAAAAATATAAATTTTTCTTTATTCTTTCAGTAACTTAACCCGTATTTCTTTACCTCTATTTGTAAAACATCATGCAAGGTGCTATGAAGAATAGAATGATTCACAGACAGCGATTTCCTTAAAGATATTTACAGATTAAGAGCAAAGACAGAACATATATGTAAACAATGAAAACGTAAGTATACTTGGGGCGCCACTGCAGCACAGGCAGCAACCAATCCACAGTAACAACAGCGTTAGGGTGCAGCCGGTGGGGATCACTTTCTGAGCACATTATCGGCTTCCTAGGAGCTATAACACTTTAACTTATGGTAACTTTGGGTGGGGGCTACCATTTTCTTAAAAAGAGAATCTTTGTACAAAAATAAATTTGATAAAGATGATATTCAAATTGTTTGGCATCAATTCATTCAGGTATGTAAGAAGGTGCATGACCTACCCCAGTGAGGACTGGTTGCTTCTCACAGTAACACGGGCCAATCATGGTGCAGGCCTAAGAGAAGCCATCGGCAGCCTTCACTCAAACCTGGGTGGGATAATGGAAGAGGACTCTGTAATGAGGGTCCCATTCTAGACTTCCTTGGCTGTCAAGGTATGTTTGGATCTCTGGATTAGCAATTTTCTAGAAATATGCTCTTTTAGAATCCAAAGGTCCTTGACTTTTCTATTCTATCTCTTCTGTGATTTTTTTTTCTCTACTTGGTGAAGCTATTTAAATTAGCAAGTTATGGACAGAGAATAGATTCTAGATTACCTCAGACCAGGTTCAATATGAGGCGCTCTCAGCAACTTGCTTGAGTTTCAGAATGACCATCATCTTCCCTAAGAGAAAAATAAACATGCACACTGACACACATGCACATACACACACCACTCTCTTGGCATTGTGAAACAGACGAATTCACTGACTTGCACCAGGAGTTTCATCAGACTATATGGGTACCATTCTTGCTCTGGACATTTCCCTGAGGATCAGTCTCTGAGAAACCATCTAGACCCAGTTAGAAACAGAACCAGTAATTCATTCATTACTTTGTGTCTGCTTTTTTTTTTTTTATCTTTTCCACTATTTTTACAAACATTTACTAGGTGCTAATTCTCAAGAGTGTAGCCCATAAGCTGGCTTTCATAGTATCTGCAAAAGGTAACTAGAGTTTGTGATGAGGAATTTAATACAGGGGATGGACATGTGCAGAGGCATGATAAGTTTGGGATGACACAAGAAATTCGATATGTCTTAGACCACAATGATGGAGAGGGTGCAATAGCAACACCAAACCACAAGGCTTTACCTACTCTACAGGTATTGATCGACTACGACCTATGCAACTTACGACCATTCGACTTTATGACCACAATCGCTAGCCATGACTGCTCCGCGTCTGGCAGTGCAAACATTGCCCAGCTGGGCCTACGACAGTGCGGACCAGCTTCTGGCAGCACTACCATCTCCGCGTGCACCATTTCAACTGTTATCCCAGACTCAGTACAGCAATTTGTGCTTTGTGTCTTGGATATTTTTCATCAAACCCCTCCCAAGATGTCTACCAAGAGGAAATTGTCTTTGTCTATGCCTCAGCCTGCCAAGAAAGAAAGAAAGGCCATCGATCTCAACACAAAAATGAAGGTAATTAAGCAGTACGAAGGAGGAAAGAAAGTGAATGTGATCGCACGTGATATGAAGTTATCACACGCGACTGTGTCGACGATTTTGAAAGATAAAGAAAGAATTCATGAAGCTGTGAATGGTTCTGCACCCATGCGATCAACGGTTATAACAAAGCAACGAAGCGGGCCCATCCACGAAATGGAGAAATTGCTATATATTTGGATGGAAGATCAAATTCAAAAACGGACACCATCAAGTCTTTTTACTGTGCAAATGAAGGTGAGAAGTCTATTTCAGACTCTGAAGGAGCGTGCTGGAGAAGACTACAGTCAAGAATTTGTAGCAAGCTCTGGCTGGTTCCAGAGATTCAGGAAAAGATTCCAGATGCATCGTGTTCGAGTGACTGGAGAAGCAGCGAGTGCGGATGAGGAAGGAGCACGTACGTTTGTTGATAGTCTGGATGAATTAATTACAGGTGAGGGATATCTAGTAGAACAGACTTTCAGTTGATGAAACTGGATTATTTTGGAAACGGATGCCAGCACGCACTTATATTCACAAAGAGGCCAAAAGCATGCCGGGATTTAAAGCATTTAAGGATAGGCTAACTCTGCTGCTTGGCGGGAACATCGCAGGGTTTAAGCTGAAGCCGTTCTTAATTTATCACTCAGACAACCCGCGTGCGTTCAAGAATGTTAACAAGCACACACTGCCCGTCTACTTTCGTTCTCAACGTAAAGCATGGATGACACAAGGATTGTTTGAAGATAGGTTTATGAACTGTTTTATTCCTCAAGTTCGAGAATATTGTTTGGAGAAAGATATTCCTTTCAAGATTTTATTGCTACTCGATAATGCACCTGGACACCCACCACATCTAGGTGACCTCCATCCAGATGTAAAATTTGTTTTTCTTCCGCCAAACACGACTCCACTCATCCAGCCTATGGGCCAAGGTTTGATTGCTACGTTAAAGGCCAACTATCTCCGAACCACCTTTGTTCAAGCAATATCCGCTATAGATGCTGACTCAGAACATTGTGAGATTTTTGGAAACACTACAACATTTTGATGTGTATCAAGAATGTCGCTACTGCCTAGGAGGCTGTGACGACAAAGTGCGTGAATGGCATCTGGAAAAATTGTGTTAAGCACTATGTTAATGATTTTGACAGATTTGACAGTGAACATGAACTTGAAACGATTCAGGAAAAATAGTAAAACTCACTAAAGACCTGTCTTTGGAGTGTGAAATGGAAGATGTCGAAGAGTTGCTAGACAAAGAATCCGGAGAACTCACAAATGAAGAGCTAATCAAACTGGAAGAAGAAAGAGTGGCGGAAGAAGAAAGAAGGGAAGCAGAGAAAGAAGAGGAGAAGCCAGAAAGAAAGTTCACCACTAAGGGATTATCAGACGGTTTATCTTTACTGAATAAACTTCTTATACATTTTGAAGCAATGGACCCAAACATCGAACTATTTGCAAGGATTGAACGGATGGCGCACGATGTGTTTCGTCCGTATCGTGAAATTTATGAAGAAAAAAAGAAACATAACAATTCAGACAAAGCTCACTATGTTTATGAAAAAATCAACTCTGGTAACCCCAACTGCTGCCTCAGATGACGACATCAATGATCCGCAGCCAAACACCAGCGGCCAATAAAATGTTTCGTACATGTTTATATATTTTGATACGTTTTGCAATTGGGAAAATGTTTCCTATGGTATTTTTTAACCTGTATTTTGTATGTTTTGCAAACGTTAAACCAGTTGTACTGGTAATGCAGTGTTTTACTTAAACCTGACGAAGGTAAGAATAAGAAACAAAATGATGTAGAGATGATACAACTGACATAAAAAGAACAAAGAAAATTATGATATATAACAATAATGAAAGAAAATTATGATAAAATATGACTTAAAGATTTTTATAACATCATTTCACAGTATTGTACATATAGCCTTACGACCAAATCGTGTTACGACTGGTCTGTCGGAGCCAGTTGTGGTCGTAAGTCGAGCACTAGCTGTGTATTAGAGTGGGGCTTTCTCCTGAAAGTTAGAGACTCACTGGAAGGTATTATCAGCACAGGGGTACGAACAATCTTCCATTTTATAAAGAATCCCTCTAGAGAATTTCTAATAACAATTGGCAGTCTATGTTTTTGAAGGAATTAATGAATTATGAGGGATCTATCTATGCCAGTGATAGATAAAGAAGCAGTTCTACAGATAACAAGATTATATGCTCTATAAAACTTGGAAAATGATTGAAGTGTGGGTTGATAAACAGAAAAACCAAGTATTCCTATGAGAAAACAAAACAAGCAAAAAATAAAACAAAACCCTAGATTTCATGTAAGGCTTTCCAACCATAGTCACCCACACGGACAAGACTGTATTTTGAATACACATATGCTGATGATATCTATCCATAATTGGCATTTATTGAAGCTACAGGGGGATAGTGGGTACTGTGAGACTTATTTTATATAGCCTAGATAACCCTCCTACGACTTCTTGGGTGGATTTTCCATTTAAATCATGTCCTCAAAATTTCTAGCAAAATTGGCTTATTGTCCTAGCAAAAACAGCTGCTTTGATTCAAACTGTTCATATAAAAAGCAGCAACACAAGCTTAGTAATAGCACCAAATTTTTTTAACGCCACAAGCAACCCACAAAAGATAAAACAAGATTCTTTTTCTATTTTTTAACATTTGTTTTAACATCAATAGCAACACATTCTTGAAATGAGTAATATTCACTTTTTCCTATGTTATTTTCAAATGCAAATTTCTAAAAACATTCTGAGGAAAGCCTTTGGAATATTTCAACTTAATAAACTCCAGCTGCCTTAAAGAAAAGTGATTTACTCTTATATTATTTATTTGAACCTCTTCTGATTTGAGATGTAATTGAATTGCTCCAGAGTTGTATTACAGAAGAAATCTGTAAGAGGAGTTGAGGAAGGACGGCATAATGTTTAAAATTACATTTTAGTTAATATGAAGAATAGCCATGTAGATTTTGAAACTGTCATAGCACTGAACACTGAACAAGTAATCTCAGAGTATATATTTGCAAACCTGAAAAACACTGTACTGTAATTCACTTATAGTTTTGGAAGAGATGGGAAAGGAGTATGTTCAGTTATCCTTCAAACTATTTTTAAGCATTGTAACTTTATAGATGGAATGTTATATTTCTATATTCCATGTGGCCAAGTTTCATTTATTGACATTACAAAGTATGCTAAGCATGTATTTAGAGCAATTTCAACCAATGTTTAGATGGAAATTTATTATTCACTAACAGATTACCAGGCCCTCATATCATCTTCCCCATATACTTTTTTCATATTTTGCATTACAAAAACTTTTTATTTTGAAATAATTTCAGATTTATAGAAAAGTTGCAAAAATAATGAAAGGAGATACTTTATATCTTTCAACCTGCTTCACCTAATGTTAACCTTTTATATAACCACAGTATCATTATCAAGAAAAATAAATTAACATTGATATATTATTGACTAAATTCTGAACCTTCCATTTCTACCAGATTTTCCACAATGTACTTTTACTGTTCCACTATCCCATATTGTATTTAGTAATAAACATCATCAGTAAAATATGTCAACATCATGTACCCCCAATATGATGCAGTGAGAAGACCACTGTATCAGTTCATTTTCATACTGCTGTAAGAACTGCCTGACACTGGGTAATGCATAAAGAAAAGGGGTTTAACTGACTCAAAGTTCCACATGGCTGGGGAGCCCTCAGGAAACTTATGATCATGACAGAAGGTGAAGGGGAAGCAAAGAACTTCTTTACATGGTGGCAGGAAACAGAAGAATGAGGAGCAAAGGAGGAAGTGGCCCTTATAAAACCATCAGATCTTGTGAGAACTCACTATCACAAGAACAGCAGGGGGAAATTGCTCCCAAGATACAATCTCCTCCTGCTAAGTCTCTCCCTAGGCACATGGGGATCTTGAGGACTACAATTCAAAATGAGATTGGGTGGGGACACAGCCAAATCATATTGTTCCACCCCAGCCTCTCCCAAACCTCATATCCTCACATCTAAAAACACAATCATACCTTTACAACAGTCCCCCAAATTCATAGCTCATTCTAGCATCAACCCAAAAATCCAAGTCTAAAGTCTTATCTGAGAAAAAGCAAGTCCCTTCCACCTAGGATCCTCTAAAATAAAAAACAAGTCAGTTACTTACAAGATACAATGGGGGCACAGGCATTGGGTAAATATATCCGTTCCAAATGGGAGAAATTACCCAGAATGAAAAGGCTACAGGCTTCATGCAAGTCAGAAATCTGGCTGGGCAGCCATTAAATCCTAAAGATTCTTAACAACCTTATTTGATTCTATGTCTTATATCCAGGTCATACTGATACTAGAGATGGGCTCCCATGGTCATAGCCAGCTCTGCCCTGTGGCTG